GCCATTACGCAAAACATGACAAAACGGCTCCAAAACTATTCAAATAGAATGGATTTCAAAGTTGAGTAGGATTGAACTGTACTAAACAAATTCAATGCACTGTACTGGATTCATAAAAAAAAAAAGAGCCATTGTAAATTCAGTCATTCTAATAGCTACCTCTAGAGGGACTCCAAGTATCACACTTTGCTTGTAACCCCACTTTGAGAATTACTCGTCCATGCCATTTAATTCAAGCAGAGCATTGCATCAAAGTTCAATCATATCGAGGATCCCCCATACAAAAGAGGAGGGAGGTCTTCAATTTGTTGTTGCTGTTGTGCTCTCATCGGCAATCCCCCAAAGGCCAAGCCCGGCCCTCATCATTTCAGTTCCATATGTCGCCTGAGGTGACATGAGCCCATTACCGAGATTTCCCTGTGTTGGCACGGGGTCACCGAACCGACGCGACCACATTAACAAGCTTTGCCGCTCATGATAACCATTGTTTTTCCTCACATCCGCTCGGCATCAAAGAGGATTTCGGCCATGCCGCTTGGATGACCTCAGCTTGCCCTGTGGGTCACCCTCAGAAGAACTTAAACAGTGTATTTTCATCCCCGGTGTGAACTCTTGCTTCTAGGAAATGTGGAATGAGATTAGAGAAAAAGCAGTTTGCTTTCATGGTAATCCTTTTAAGGCCAAGAATTGTCTTTGCCGTTGGTGGGGCTCCAATGCCGATAGGACAGCACAGCATGGTTCACTAGCAGTTAGCGCGACCGCCTACATTTCTGAAATTCAAATCCATAGAAGCCCTACAGCAGCGGTTGGCAACGTGTGGCCTGAAGTCCAAAACTGGGCCGCCACCAATTATAACTGACCTGCCAGATGACACTGATGGGGAAAACTGATATTCACACTGCCAATCACCCAGTATTAAAATTTCAGGACGGTATTGAAAACTGCAGGTTGGTTGTTGCATTTTCATTATTCAGTAATAAAATAGTTTGTAGAGCATAACTTTCGTTGTCAAAATTGGGTGTCATCTGGAATCAACCCTGATTGGCGTCACTTGAAATTGAGACATGCACATACAGTACTTGATGATTAAAGTTCACTGACTAGAGTCGAGACAATTTTCTTCCTCGCTTCCAAGCTGGAATCAAATTTCCTTTTGGGAGGCAAAACTCACTGATAAAAAAAAAAAAAAAAAAGTCTCATAACTTGGTTGCCGGTTAAGTTTTCTTTTTCAAATTGTTTAAAACAGATTAATTCATTATAACATTAATTTGCCTCTGTCTCTGTGTTTCAGACTTGTCTTGAATATTTTGACTTCAAAAAAGGAATCACTATTACTCGGCAGTATTAAATTTCGAATGTCTTAAATGAGAAATATCTGACAGATAGTGTCAAATTAGTGAACAGATAATTTCTCAATGGAGAGTTTTGTTATTGTGAGCATAGCATGATATTGCAATAATTACCATGACATTAATACCGTGATTAATCCAAAACATGAGCTTTCAATCTGGTTGCATTCCTACCAATAATAATTAGATATATTTAGGATGAAAACCAAAAAATGTATCTCAGGCCATCATAGAATTGTTAGAAAAAAAATGTAGACATGGTCACACTAAGTTGCCAAGCCATGTCATATAGAATGTGGATAGATCAATGCAGTTCTGGTTGAAGTGTTGCCATAGGAAGCAATCCCAACGTGGAGTGAGTGACTGTGAGCTGTATAGCGAGGATGTATGAGCCATCTGATTGGACAATGGCTTTGAGGCGATTCCGGGACACCACTGCCCAAAACCTCGAGCTGTTCATTTTTCAGACAGCTCAATGTGTAACGTTCCAATGTCACCTCTAGAGGACGCTGGTGTGTTTCACTGCAAAATTGCCTTTGCAGTGCCCAAGTTTTTTCAGAATGTTCTTGTCTTCACATATTGATAAATATGATTGGTTTTGAAATGTTAGGTAAAAATACCATGCAAAATCACTAAAAGCATACAATAATAAAATCATGATCAAATGATAAAGAATATAATTGCTGTTGTGAGGAAACATAATCTGTCCAAATTTGGTAAATTTCACTTTAAAAAAAAAAATCAATCCGAATTGTCAGTCCCCTGTGGGTTTGTTATGTTTTATTTTGTTTTATTTATTATTAGTATTAATTTTAACAAATTATGGACCAATGTAAAGTGTTGAAAATGGCTTGTTCTCGATGCTGATGCAATGTTAATGACCCGGTGTTATTCTTATCATCATTATTATTTCTATTTTTATTATTATTATTATTATTATTGTTGTAGTTGTTTTTGTTATTATTCTTTGTTTCATAAATTGAAGGAAATGTGAGCATTCCACCCGAATGGGGACAAAAGGGGGGTGTGGGCGGGGGCATCCACCTGAAGGCGTTAATTCTGTAAAAAATAAAAATAATATATAAGACATATTACAGCTTTTAAATAACATCACCAATTTGAAAAACAATAACATAATTTACATTCATAAAAATGCGTTACCACCTTCAAATGTTGTAATTACTTTAAACTGTGTTTCTGTGTTATTGAAGTTAAAAAGCTGAATTCAATTTTTTTGTTAGTAATTCATAATTATGTCATACCACAGTTCTACATTTTTTTTGTGACAGAAATTAGTATTTCGTGGCCACAAGTTAGCATCGTGTATGCTCTTTCTATACATTGTGGCTAGACCGTGAGGTTCCACCCCCGCAAGTCTGTTTTTCCATTTGTAGGTGACAGAAAGATGGTGTTTTTCCTGAAGATTGCGATTTCAAACCTAAAACGACGGCTAAGATTACGTACGATGAGATACGACTTGTATTAGTAGATATGTTCGCACTGCATCAATATCAACTCCTCTCAACACTCCTTTCGTTCTCCTCCTCCTCCTCTCCTTATTCGTCTCTCCTTCTTGAAGCAAAAAGCTAAAAATAGCTCAGGCTCCGTTCACTTTCAAGCTGCACTGTGCGCTTGATGCTGAAGACACCGGGAGGCGTTTTCAACATGTCCTGCACGCCTCCCCGCGGCTACAAAGATGCAGAAACGCACCCAGAATAGCACTAAAAGAGGCCTTTCATCGATTTGGGCTAAAATTAGCCTTCCAGGGGAAAGCGAGATGTCTGAAGTTAAACTAAAATACAGAAAAAACACCAAACCTTTGAGTTATTATTATTATTATTATTGGCTTCATTGTTATCTCCTTGTCAGCATTCTCAATCATGTCGGAAGGACTAAATGTTGTTCTCTGGTCCACAGATTGTCCGAGTTGTCTTGTAAAGTGCAGATCCTATTACTTGCTGAGTCCACATGTCACCTGTGATATTGCCTTTGCTCGAATGTACATCAATCTCAACATTTCATAGAAAAAAAAAAGAAAAGCCATCATCCACCATCGAAGCTTCCGGGCCTCTTTGGCGGAATTTACACTGCAGGTCAAAGTGCTGAATTCTGATGGGGAGTGAGGGGGCGGGTCGTATGGTGGAGGTGTTACTGTGCATATATATATATACAAACACAAACAAACACACGGCTCAGTTCGACAGTATTGTAAAAAATCGATTTCTTGCCATTTTGCAATCTGAATAAACAATGCCTCATTGGATGATTTGTATTGCATTTTGGAATTTGTCATGTTGCATGTCCCAATTATTCCACCAAAACAAAATTGGAATTGTTTCACTTCAACCATGCGGCGTAAATTCAGCCGTATAACAGACGGGTGGAGGAGATGGGTGAACAACTGTACAATATTGTGTGAAAGTCACAGCCATTCTTTCTTGAGCACACACATGCATACATATTGCATATTGGTCACCTTGTTTCTCCTATGTGTGTGTGTGTGTGTGTGTGTGTGTGTGTGTGTGTGCGTGTGCGTGTTTTCATGCAGGTCAAACAAACCTCCAAACAATCTGAAAAGATCTCATTGAGCTATCCCACAGCAGAATATTGCAACATTTCTTGAGGGGGCTCCAAGGTTTGTTTCAAATAGAAGAGTGTGTTTGCTGATCACATTGGTGACCACCATCAAATAATTTCGTATGAAAAGCAATGCATAGATTTCCCAGCGTTTCTCCAACTTTTTCCACGGAGTGAATTTTAAATGCCAATGTAATGTCAAAAATGATGGGAAAATATAAGAAATAAAAGTTGACTCCACTCAGCTGGGTGTGTTTTCAACACAAAAGTCAATGTTGGGCATTCCTGCTACAATAGGTTTGACCTAAATGAAAGAAAAAAAAAACACTTTTAGAGAAATGTGCCAGCATGCAGAGGCGAAGATGCTTTTTGTTGTCATCCCATTTAAAAGGTACAGTACTGTATATAAATGATGCATCAACACAGCTGCACCCTCTTTTACTGTTCTCACAGGAATTTAGTCGGATAATCCACAAAAACGGATTGAAAAGTGACGTGAAAGTGAAAAGTGAACATTCCCACCCATGAAAAAAAATCATCAGATTCTTGTCAATTTTTCTCTCTGTTGTAAATTTAAAAATATACGAAAGAGCAAAGTAACGCCAAACAGCCAAGTGTTTTGCCTGTAATTCATATCTTCATTTTTGTAAGCTAAAAGGAATCCAAAAAGAAATTCTTTTATTCATTATCCACTTTCTAATCCGTTTATGCTCTCAAGGGTCGCGGGTGAGCTGAAGCCTCTTCCAGCTGTCTTCTGGCAGCAAGCGTGGGACACCCTGAACCGGTTGCAAGCCAATCGCAGGGCACACATAGATGAGCAACCATTCGCACTCACAATCACACCTAGGGACAAATTAAAGTTTTCCATTAACTTGCCATGCATGTTTTTGGAATGTGGGAAGAAGAAGAGTCCCCGGAGAAAACCCACTCAGGCACAGGGAGAACATGCAAACTCCACACAGGAAGGCCGGAGCCGTAATTGAACCCGATACCTCTGCACTGTGAGGTCGACGCGTTAACCAGTTGACCACTGTGTCGCCCTTTATTCGTTATAGTTTTTTTTTTTGTCTCTTGATTAATTGGTTATCTGAATTTTTTTTTTTTGTTGCCATATTGGAATCTGCATCGGCCTCACAAAAGTCCCAATGAGAACATATTTTTCACACTTGCATACACATAGTGAGATTTGAAGTGCTTTTTGATCGCTTAACAAAGGGAAATATTGCTAAAGAAACAAAAAATTGGTATCTTCCTTTGAGCCACCGACAACTAGAGCGGGCTAACTCATTTTAGTCATTTTGAAGTTCTGTGCAGAAATGAACAGAAAAAAGTTTTTTCCTCTCCAGTTGTCAGTAGCTCATTTCAGCTGACTTTTCCCTACGTTTGAGGGGCTGCGTGAGAGCAGCGGACGTGGGTGGATGGGCGGGCGGCGCATCGGCAGCGGTGGCGTGACACGTGTTGTTACTGTAGCATGTCGGAAGCCTAAAAATAGACACGGGCGCCTCGACGTGGAGAATTCATTGAAAATGCCACATGCTACAAACAGACCAATGCCCGCTACCCACTATCTCGCCCATCAGTCGACAGCCATCAGACAAATGTTAAAACTGGGACTCAGGAGGGACAGCCAAGGTCTGCTACAGTGATGCTGAATATCACCCCCAGCATGGATGGATCGATGGACGGACGGATGGATGAACAGATGGTTAGGACTGCCTGACTTGGCAGTGTTGCGGCAATGGCAGCTATCCTTAACTGGACACCATCCTGAAATCTTTCCAGGCATTTGTGCTAATCAAACGCCAACTGAAACCCGTGTCTCGTTTTAAATATATCGACTAGCAGGAGTGTAGGAGTGTGTGTCTTCGGCACTCACTCTTAAATTTTAGCTTCATTATGGCAATAATCTGCATCACAAGTCTCTGGTGAAAGTGTGCTGTATTTGCATTCGGTCTATATTTATAAATACATCTTAAATCGTTTTTTTTTTTTTTTTTTTTTAAATCTCTGCAGTGAGCTTCTTGAAGCTTGAAGTCATGCTTCTACGGATGAACAGGATGTCATGCAAGACTAGGAAAGATTCTTTTCGATCCATTCTTCTCAAAAGTTGCTATGGTAACCACAGCGTCCTAAACGGCTCAATAACGTCCGCGACCTCAAAGTGCTTTTTACGGCAACCTGGCGAAGGCTTCTAGGTGGAAGGTCAGGGTTTGGTGGTGGGTGTGCGTGTTTTCTCTGTGGAAAAAAAAAAAATAAATAAAGCTGGGCATACACTGAGACATTTGGGAATTTTAAAGAAAAATCTAAGAAATATTTGTTCGTCAAACATCATTTTAAGTGCTACGCGAAGTAGTACAGTGTACCATTTTTAACCTTTGAGGGCCACCATACTTTTGATTATTGCAGTTAACCTTATTCCCGCACATCATGCAAACATCATAGTGGGCTACTGCGATGACAGACACGGACTCGTAAATGGCAAGTCATTCATAGCAACTCACGAGCACCACCTCTACGATGACCAATAACGTACTAAACGGGTGGAAAAGTTCACGCAAAATTCATTGAGGAATTGCAGAAAGTGGAACTGCATTGCAATCTAGCCACACATCTACTTTGCAAACAAACACAGTGCAGCTCAGCCTCTGCTTTGCAGGCGTCATGACCAACAATGAGGTTTTTTTTTTTTTTTTTGTAGAACTTGCCAAATACGTTGAAACAGCTCCACTTTGTTCAGTCCCAAGAATAATTATTGATGTTGGGCTTCCTCAAAACTCTGTTTGTTTGAAGATCCTATATCGATCGAATGGAGAATTTACTATGAACAGTTTTACATTGATGTCAATATACTTAAAACCAATGTATCTCCACACACGTCCACAAAACAAAATGTTGCCCATAGGGTAACAACATCTCCATATTTCGCAATTTCGCAAACCATTGGTTCCACTTAAGCCCAGTCTGGTGGCAGTAATGTGTGTTCCAACTATTGCTGACTGTCAAACATATCAAGAAGAAGAATGCCATAAACAAAAGCAACACAGGTACATTAAAGCCTGTTCCTTGCTCTTTATGGCCACCTCAAACGAACCGTTGTAGCACAAGCCCTGAATTGACCATAGCTCCAGGACTAACAATGTCGCAATTCAAAATGTGGTCATTTTGCAATCAGAAGAGAACACACTTATTTCGCAGTGTATGCCCAGCTTGAGTGTTTCTATGTTTGGCCTGTAGGGGGGAATTTACCCGCCAAATATATATTATGCATCTTCAGAGGGTCCCTAGTTTGAGTTCCAATCCTACAGTGGTGGTGTAAACCAAATTTGTACGGATTTTGGAACACGACTGTCGGTAAGGTAGTATGAAAGTTTCTTTATCGGATCTCAAATTTGCCAAATAAGTGGGCCATAATAACATCAGCAATTTTGTTATCCTTTCGCAAAACACATGTAGTGATCGCCACACGTTATTTAATAATCAGTATTTCTGGTGCGCATGGTATTTTTGTTATCTGATAAATATTCAATCTCAACAGTTCCAAATAATGTATGCAGCACAGTTGTGTGATGTCATCACGGTTTTGTATCGTATTGATGCACCAGATGCACAACCTGCCACTAAATTTGAGCCAATATTTGTATGACTGAAACAGTTTTAAGCCATAAATGTAAAACAGTTCGATGAAAAACCGCGAGTACCACGGTCAACGAATGTGGCTTCTTGTGCCTCGTGATTCTTTGTGCCACTAATTATTTGCATGCTGTTTGTAGTTAACATGAAACATTCTCTGCCCGGACCGTCGTAAACATTGGACCCCCTGGACTGACTAACAGTCCCTAACTACAGGCTACGTGAATCTATGTTGTGCATGGAAAAAAAACCCCAACCAAACAAAACCCGAGAAGAAACATTCAAGTTGTCCTCAAAGCTCCGCAGTATAAGACCAGTTTGGGTGAATGGCGGGGCAAGCATCTTGAAGAGAGCTTGCATCGTAGTAACACGTCGCGTAAGAGCAAAACAGCGAGGCGTCAAGGCCATTCTCAGTCACTCATCAGATACTGACTACTAAAATGTCCCACCACGAGCGTTTGTGGCGCCGACGGCTGTCATTCATCCTTGCAAAAACTAGCAGTGAGAAACAAACCTGGGAACGGACCCGCTATATGGTCACGTTTTGTTTTTTTTCTTTCTATGGTGATGCCTAAGTATTTTGTGCCTAAAGCAAAGCAATGCACCCTGGGAAGTGAGGGATCAAGTGACTTCAGTGTGTTGTCTTAACTTCAAAAAGCTTTTTTTCCCCCCCTCATTGGTTATTTTTGGTTGGCATTAGTGTGACATTTCAGTTTTTCTTCCACTCAGGAAACTCCATGCAAATGCAAACAAATCTGGCTCTGTGTGACAGTGCTAAGGGCAGGAGTGAAGCCTGGCGTGAAAAGCATCTCATTCCTGAATTCTTTTGCCTTTGTATTACTTGTTTCCCCCAGTGATCTCTACGGTAGACTACACATCTGTGAGCATCTTGGTGATGTTGACGTAGTTTGTGTTGGCCAGCGTGCAGTTGGCCGTCTTGAGGTTCTCCCGGCGGAAATCCTCATTGCTATTGTTGACTGCCTCCTGGATCTCCATGTAGTCCGACTTGCTGATGGTCGATCCGCTGCGACTCTTTTTCAGCTCCTCGCCCGACTCGCTCTTGGGCGCGTTGACCTGGAGGTACTGCGCCTGCTCCTCCCCTTCCGTCTCGCGGTGGTAGAAGTAGTTGAAGTTGGACACGATGACGGGCACGGGCAAGGCGATGGTCAGCACGCCAGCGATGGCACACAGGGAGCCCACGATCTTGCCCCCGATGGTGGTGGGTACCATGTCACCGTAGCCCACCGTGGTCATGGAGACCACGGCCCACCAGAAGGCGTCCGGGATGCTCTCGAACTGGGACTGACGCTCGTCGGCCTCTGCGAAGTACACCGCGCTAGAGAAGAGGATGACACCGATGAAAAGGAAGAAGATGAGCAGTCCAAGCTCTCTCATGCTGGCCTTCAGGGTCTGGCCCAGGATCTGGAGCCCCTTGGAGTGGCGTGAGAGCTTGAAAATTCGAAACACTCGCACCAGTCGGATCACCCTGAGGATTGCTAAAGACATGGCCTGCTGTCCAGCTTGACCGTCATCCGGACTGTCTGCCAGCTCTGTGCCCAGCGTGATGAAATACGGGATGATGGCCACAATGTCAATGATGTTCATGAGGTTGCCAAAGAAGCCCGCTTTGCTGGGGCAGGCGAAGAAGCGCACTAGAAACTCAAAGGAGAACCAGATGATGCACAGCGTCTCCAGGATGAAGAAGGGGTCGGTAAAGTAGGTGGACGTGTACCTGATGACTGTGGTGTTGGTCTCGGGGGAAAAGATCTCAGCGTGGGACTTGTGCATGTCGTCCTCGTCGTTGCGGAAAATGGGGAGGGTCTCGAGACAGAAACTGACGATGGAGATGAGGATGACCATGACGGAGATGATGGCGATAATCCGAGCTGGACCTGAGCTCTCCGGGTACTCAAACAGAAGCCACACTTGTCTCTGAAACTCGTTGTCGGGGAGAGGGCGCTCCTCCTCCTTGATGAAGCCCTCGTCCTCGCGGAAAATCTCGATGGCTTCGTCGCCCAGCTCGTAGAAGCGGATCTCCTCGGAGAATATGTCCAGCGTGACATTCACCGGCCTCCTTAGCCGCCCGCCCGACTGGTAGTAGTACAATATGGCATCGAAGCTGGGCCTGTTCCTGTCAAAAAAGTACTCGTTACGCAACGGGTCAAAGTAGCGCATTCTCTTTTTGGGGTCCCCCAGAAGTGTTTCGGGGAACTGCGAGAGGGTCTTGAGTTGGGTCTCGAAGCGCAGTCCGGAGATGTTGATCACCACCCGTTCGCAGCACTCGTGGTCCGCCTCCGGGTCGTAGTCCAGCGGATGGCCCGGGTGCGCCGCCGCCTCGTCGGACGGATCGCCCGTGGCGACCGTCATCGTGGCGGGAAATGGCGGCTGGGCGAGGACTGCACCTTTCACGGGGGGTGCGGTAGTGCGTCCGGGTGCGGAGAATCCTCCAGGCGTTTCTCAGGGCTGGACTGCATGTAGGACAGTCGCACAAGTAGGTCAAATAAACTTGAGACAGGTAACACTTGATACTTCGCCAACTTGCACCTTTATACAAGAATCACCTCAAACTTGCTCGAGTGCAATTAATACGCCAGCGGGCTGTGTGTCCTGCATGTCAATTGCTTCAATGCAGGCAGAGTCAGTGCAGCAGCTCATAAATTAGGACTCCCGATCTGCTGCATTTTGGGCAATTGGGAACTAAAACCACAAGCGCCTCCTTTTCTCCCCCTTTTTCTCACGGCAAAGCCATGCATGAACACAACAATGCGGCCAGCACCACAAGCCACGCATGCAGCACCCTGCTGACAACATCACTGCAGTCCAACACACACACACACACACACACACACACACACACACACACACACACACACACACACACACACACACACTCAGAAAGGTATTGGCTGCTTCTAAGTCAGGTTTGCGCCGAAGAAACTAAAAGACTTTTTTCAAAGGGGAGGATTTCGAACACACTGCACAGCCGTGTTTGAAATATTCAAAAACACACGTGAATAATTGAAGAGCAGAAGGAAACAGCAGCCAAGGGAAGAAAAAAAATATTCTCTTCATTGCGTGGGTGATGAGTGGGAGGACTGTCACTGTTATTTTTAAAGAGAGGCTTGCATCAACTGTAAAATACATGGACCAAATGTAAATATTCATGCGGAATGTACATACCTGCAGACATCTTAGTGGACTCTGCTGCTGATACTGCCGTTTGGAGACAAGCAGTTCTCCTGTCTTGGAATAAAAAATGCTTTTAATCTACAAAATGAAGACAGGTAATCGTCACTGTAGTGCATCTCCACTGCGGTACTGCTGGGGAATCACCTCATGTTGACTGCTTCTCCTCCTTCTGCTGCTGCTGCTGCTGCTGCTGCATCCTTGCCACGTGCACTGGCCGAGGACGGTGCGCGGGCGGGTGTGTCCTTGCGTCCCCCTTCCTCCTCCCCCTCCTACTCCTCTTCCTCCTCCTCCTCTTCTTCCTCCACGTCTCTTGTGATGATGGTTGAGGGTGATGATGATGATGATGATGCTGATTATGGGGTTAAAAAATGAAAGGGTTGGACTAAGAGAAGCGGCTATCAAGCAGGAGCAAGAAAAAAAAAGGTAATGAGATCAGCACAAATGATGTGCAAAGGTGAACACTCGGGAGCGTGAGCAGCAAGAGGGACCGCTTTTTGTTGATAATTCAGTGCTTTACTGTTTTTCTAAACCCCATTGTCCAAACTAAATGCTCAGTTGCCTAAACCCACTGATCGAATCAGTCACTCTTTTTGGACAAAACATCTTTTTTTTGAAGCCACCAACTTTTGAAGTATTGGAACAGACATTACCTGAATTGAAAGTGAATAACATTTAATATTTGGTGGCATAACCCTGACTTGCAGGAACTGCATCAAGCCTGTGACTAACTGACTTCACGACACTGTTGCATTGTTCAGTTGAGATGCTTTTCCAGGCTTTTACTGCAGCCTCTTTCAGTTCCTGGTTGTTTCTGGGGATTTCTCCCTCTATTTGGTTCAGGTTCGGTGACTGACTTGGCCTGTCAGATCTTCAAAACATGTCGCTTCTTTCTTTTTCAGGACATTCCGAATTATTGTAATGGCTATGCTCAATGTTTGTTGCTCAATGTTACAATAACTGAGATTAATTTTCCCTCTTCCCTCAGCTTCAAAATGGTTTTCTTGGGCTCTCTGGTCTTCATGTTTGCTCAACAGCATATGCAGTTTTCACAGGTGAAACCCAAAGCCACAAAAAAGCAATGTCTAAGTTTTAATAATCCATCTAAAAGGCAACAACTGCACAGCGAGAAAAATCTACCAGTGACATGTTCCAGTACTTTTTTTGTTTCAAAGATTGTTTCAAAGATTAAGATGAATTTAATCGAATTGAATTAGAAACATATTGAGATATGTATCAAATTGTCTGTTATTAAAGAGATGTATGTGAACCACATTTACAGTACTGACAAGTTCATTGAAATCTTTAAAAAAAAAAAGACCCAAAAAAGTGCATCATAGCCTCTCGAACTGAGCCGCAACAAATTGAATTATCCTAATCCCACTTGTTTTACAGACACACACACACACACACACACACACACACACGCACACACACACACACACACACACGCACACACATATATATGTGTGTGTAGATAGATAGATAGATAGATAGATAGATAGATAGATAGATAGATAGATAGATAGATAGATATATATCTACACACACACGCGCGCGCGCGTGTGTGTGTGTGTGTGTGTGTGTGTGTGTGTAGATAGATAGATAGATACTGTAGATGATAGATAGATGTGTATGTGTGTGTGTAAATCATCTATCTATCTATCTATCTATCTATCTATCTATCTATCTATCTATCTATCTATCTATCTATCTATCTATCTATCTATCTATCTATCTATCTATGTAATTGCAAGCTTCCCTGGCAACAAACCATTGATTAATAATAGATCTAAGGGTGACAAAAATAGAGCTGAAGCTATTTTAAGCAGGCAGAACAACATGGATCAATGGCCTCGCATGTGCAACATTCAGAGAAGTGGCGAAGGAGGCACCGCGGCCGCAGATGACATCGGGAGAATGGCCATAGGTCAGCGGGAATCCCATGACATAGAAGGGGGGCATGGGAGCGAGTCGGTCTGTTTGTTGATTTATGAGGCTTCGCCAAGGTTAGTGCTGGCAGAGTCCATCAAGGCTGCGACACACGCTGATCCCTCTCACTGTCTCCATAATGGCTTTCCCAGGTACCCCGTGACAGGACAGCCATTAATAATGAGTCAGGAGTGTGCTCGTGTAGGCTACCGGCCGGGCATGGCTCACTTTGCGTTAGCTAGCCACTTTTAATTCAATGCGAAGGATCTCGCACCAGTCTTGTACGTGCAGTGCCAATGGTGATCAAAGCACGACATAACAAGGAAAAGCTTGTGAACTGTAATGTAAGCATGCTTTTGGGGTGGGCAAAATAGGGCAAGTGGGCCATATGAGGCCCACACCGTTCTTTCATCCGAGCCACAGAGTCCGGATTAAAGTCTGGACGATTCACCGAGTCCATGCGATTAATGTAGCTGATTATCGATTCAACTAAATGTTTTTCATGGACCACGGCACTTAATCGTCCCTAGCTATGATTGTGAGTGAGAATGGTCGTTTGTCTATGTGTGTCATGCGATTGGCAGGCAACCAGTTCAGGGTGTCCCCCGCTTACTGCCCGAAAACAGCCGAAAGAGTCTCCAGCACGCCCACGGCCCTCATGAGGATTAGCGGATCAGATAATGGATGGGTGGGTGGATGGAAGCCGGATTTTGGGCTTGAACTTGTCACTTGTCCCCCTTGGCTTGGCATGTTTCAACGTCTGGTCTAGCTCCCTTGAATGTACCTTCCAGACAAACTGGGAAGCAAACAGATGATTGAGGGTGGGAACTAAGCCCAAATCCCGATTGATTCATTTATGAACTGATTAGGATGTTTGCCTCAAGATTTACAGTCCACATGTGAGGCAAGAGGATTAAGATTAAAATGTTCACTCTTTTGATGTTGTGCTTCTTTATACGCAGGAAGCCTCATGCGTATAATCCTTATCTGGGAATTATTCTCATACCAAAACCATCTTATCCTTATCCAGCGCGTTGGTCTCCCACCTCCGCTGTACGTATCTTACCTACTGCAACGGTGATGCACTTCACTTCCTCGCCAAAGCATCCTCATCGAGGCAGAGGGGTGCAGATGGAGACAAGGCTGGGGGTGGAGAAGAGGAAGTGAGGATGGGGGGAGAGTGAGTCGTGGATCATCAGATGGACGCCCAGCAGGATTAGACAAGACCACTGGTCCATGGCGACTCTGGATTTGGCCTTCATATAACAATATGCACCAACTTTCTTTCAATACATATTTTGTAGTTAATACAGAGTAGTGGTTTAACATGCCCAGGGGCCTACATACTTATAACACGTGATTCAAATGAGAGGCAAAACCCTTTTTTTTTCATCCACCAATGGGTGATGTTACGACTGAGCCCAGTGAATACTGCCCAGCAACTGACACCAAACACATGGCAGCATGGATTGAACCAAAGTTGTTCGTAGCCTAATAGGAAAGTTGCCCAAGTGTTTTGAATTTGAATTCACTTTACATACAGTATATGTGTGTAATATATATATATATATACACACACACACACACACACACACACACACGCACGCACACACATATACATACATACCACCAATGGGCTTGCTAGAAATTGAGGGGTTTTCGACTCTCTGTGTCGATTCGTCCATGCCATATAAATCCGCAAATGGTACGTCACTGGACTCTTCTTGTTAGTGAAATGTTTGGTTGTTTGTTTATATTTTGGTTTTTTGTTTGTTTGGGGGTTTTTTTCATTAAAATGTTAAAAAAATACTTGGGCAATTATATTATTGGGATAACCAAATAGAAGAGAGCTTCCACTCTATAACGGGCAATCTTCGAATACTTTAAATAAAATTAAAGTCTAGGTATAATAAACCATCCACTATCTTCAGTTAACTTGAATATTTATTGTTACAATGAGAACATATGGATTGTAATAATCTAAACAAAATTAACAATTAATTGCTCATAATTGATTCATTGCAAAAAAAAAAACAATTTAGTCAGTTAAACTAAAATGAACAAAAGCATTGGGACACGCCAATTGTAAAAAAATCGGAACTCTAATAAAAGAACATATTCATTTATTTTCAGAGCCTATGCACTTCTGGACTGCATGAAAGGACAAAATATTACTTTTCAGAAAATGTATTATAAAAAGAGCATGACTCAGAAGGCCAGTGACACTGTGTCACTGAAGCAGGGATCCCCTCATGTCGCCTGAGCAAATGTGTGTGCGTGTGCGTGTGTGTGTGCGTGTGCGTGTTTGTGTGTGTGTGTGCGTGCGTGCGTGCGTGCATGCGCCCGCACTGTGTGAAATTCAAGTCAAGGTAAGCGTTTCCTTCGGGCACACTACATTATGTTACAGGAAGGTCACATTTGAAATAAGACTCCCTTCCGTGTGAGCTCCAGGATGGATTTAAAATGATGATGGTGATGGTGGTGGTTGAGTACTGAAGTAGCATGACTTAGCATTCTGATAAAACAGTCAGGTGTTGTGAGAGAGAGAGAGAGAGGGAGAGAGAGAGAGAGAGAGAGAGAGAGAGAGAGAGAGAGAGAAAGTGCTGCAGTGTGTGCTGCATGCAGTGGAGTTGTCTGCTATAGTGTGGGACATTGGCGAATTATAGCCACTGAGTCACTGATGCCTGAATTTTTGCTTGGGCGGAGAACCAAATGAATAGATAGCTCGACTTTTGATTCAAACTTAAATTTAGAGTTGTAGCTAGACTCAAAATGACCATATCCCAAATCATTTTTCCCCATTGAAATAAATAGAGAAGCAATTAATCCTGTCCAGCCTTTGTGCTCCTTCTGGTGTTCATATCTTGGACACCAGGGGGCAGTATGATATAGAACTACCGACACACATGAAGAAGAATCATCCGAATATTAGTTGTCAAGAATGTACAGTGAACCCCCACATATTTATGGTGTAGGCATCCGCAGGTTCCCCTATTCACAAATTAAAAAATATATTAAATCTGTCTCTCTCTCTCTCTCTCTCTCTCTCTCTCTCTCGCTCTCTCTCTCTCTCTCTCTCTCTCTCTCTCTCGCTCTCTCTCTCTCTCTCTCTCTCTCTCTCTCTCGCTCTCTCTCTCTCTCTCTCTCTCTCTCTCTCTCGCTCTCTCTCTCTCTCTCTCTCTCTCTCTCTCTCTTTATAGATAGATAGATAGATAGATAGATAGATAGATATCGGCGGCCCGGTGCTCCAGTAGCGCGTCGACATCACAATGCAGAGGTCGTGGGTTTGATCCCGGCTCCGGCCTCCCTGTGTGGAGTTTGCATGCCCTCCCCGGGCCTGCGTGGGTACTCCGGTTTCCTCCCACATTGCGAAAAACATGCATGGCAGGCTGGTTGAACGAACACTCTCAATTGTCCCTAGGTGTGAGTGTGAGCGTGGATGGTTGTTCGTCTCTGTGTGCCCCGCGATTGGCTTGCAAACGGTTCAGGGTGTCCATCGCTTCCTGCCCGAAGATGGCTGGGATAGGCTCCAGCACCCCCCGCGACCCTTGTGAGGATTAAGCAGATCAGAAAATGG